TAGAAAATAATTTGGATGATTCAAATTATTCAAATAATATTGTTTTACCTTTTTATTTGTATTTTTTTTAAGAGTAACTAGTTTTTTTATACCTATTTTTGGCTAATCAAAATTTTTCTTACTTCAAAATTTAAGTAGTTAATTAATTAATTTTACTTTTTAAATATTTTAACTAAAAATATATTAATGGGATAATGGAGAAAAAATTCGGTTTTCCCAAAGTGCTTGATTAGGTAAAGCAAATTTAGATTAAATTTTTTTAAAGAATTTGATCCTTCTTTAGATTAAAAAATAAATTAAAACATTGATATTGAGTGGAAAAAATATAAGTAAAATATTTTTGAATCATAATTTCTTAAGATAAATTTATCATAAACTGTTTTTACTTAACCCAGTTGGAATTTATATTATAATCTATAATTTAATATGGAATACTGAATATCTTACAGTATTATGCAAAAATAAAATAAGTAAAAATATCATCTTTTATGCTAGATTTATCAATATAAAAGTTGTTTAAAACGTTTTGATAGTATAAGAGTTCAATTGCTTATTTTTTATATTCTTTCTTGTTTTTTAATTAAATCTTTTTGTTAATAAAAAAAAAGGAGTGGCATAAAAATATTTCTTTTTTAAAAAATAAAATAACCAAGAATTTAAATTTAATATACATCTTGTTTTTTTTATATATTTGTTTTTTTAGTTTTAGAATATCTTCCCACAGCAAGTTACGTTTAATTACAGAGACAACATGATTAGAAGAAGGAATGCGTATTTTTTGGTGGGCTGTGGTATGTACATATTACTATTTAGCGTCTTGACAAGTATTATAAAATAAATCGATAGAGTGGCAAATTTAAAATTAATATTTTTTTATTACTTACTAATATTAAAAATAATACATAAAAAAATATCTGTTTAATATTTTTTTCAAAACATTCTGCAATGTAATTCTACGCGTTCTCTCAGGTCCTTGTCCTCGATAGTCGATCCCACTGAAGGAAAAATGGACGAAGAACACCAAGAAGATTATATTAATCGCACGCGCAGCATTTTGTTTTGTTGTTTAGGTATTTTGCCACAATAATTTCAAAATAATAAGGAATCCGTACTCCACTTTTTTAATCAGAAAATAGCTACACTTTAATTGTGTATTCGGACGAACTGCAACTAATTCATTCATCACAACAGTACAGTTGCTCTTAATATCCTTCCTATTTCCAATAAATATCAAGTCCAAATCTTTATTTTTTTTTACTTGCCACAAAATATTTGACAACAGTAGGTACCTGCCAGGATGTCATTGATGACGTTTACGTTGAGGATGAAAATGAGAGTGAGAATGATAGTGATTTATCTAGTCTGAGCATGAGTGGTTGCTCCCATGAAGATGCTAATGGAGGTGGAAGTTCCAACTGGGCAAACAAAGAAATATAAATATAAATATATATATATATATATATATATATATAGATATATATATATGCTCCTGCTCCTGCTAGGACATACCACTCTGTTGGTTTTATAAGCTTAATTCATCCACCATGACTTTTCCTGGATATTACGGATGGATTTCTTTATTACTGGTGTGGCCTCAGTTCATGCTTGGCGTGATTTGCATCACAATTGTGGTTCTAAATATTTATTAATCTTGATGTTTGAGCTAATTTATGAATATCTTAATTAATTTTATAGATTTTAAAATTAATGATTATATAAATATTTAATGACTATTATATTAACAATTACATGATTTAAATTTAAAATTACAGGAAAAGTAAATTTTTTTATTCCAAACTCTTAGCACTGGTTACGTAGCCCCAAATATAATATAACAGTATAGGTTGCATACCTGCATACTCAGCTTCGAGAAATATAATGATAGAAGCTCTACGAGACTTCACCCATGTCTGTATCATCAGATGTTAGCATTCTTCAAAACATCCTAGTCTGTTTCGCTTGGATTGATGACATGTTGGATGTGGTAAGAAAAGAGAAGAGAAATCCATATCTTTTATGTACTGGTATGTTTTTGTGATAAATCTTTGAGAAAAAGAACATAAATATTGAAGGACGTATATGCTTGCAAATGGGATCTTTGAAAATAAGGAGGAAAAAAAATATTAATGCATATAAATTGGACCTCATGGCTAAAACAGCTTACTCGATTTTTCTAATTAATGCATTCAAGTAATTAATTTGTGAATGGACGCTCCTACCACAAGTGGCGCGCCTGCTTGAAGCAAGAGATGACTCCGTCCAGCCTTTGGGGAGCGATTTGCACGTCATTATGCCAAGCGATTAAGCAAGAGAGTATTTGTTACAGCTATTCATAATTGATTTGTCAGCTAAAATGATAATTTGCATAACTCGACCATATAGTAATTTCTCATCTTAGTTTTGTGCACAACCTACTCTATCCCCATACAATAATCATTCCATTTTTCCAGCGCATTTAGAAGTCCACGAAACTTTATGAGGATGCAGAGAATATCATGGCAGAATCGCAGAAGTACACACTTTGGTATATATGGATAAGGGTCAAACAACTACGAAAATATCAAGATTCCAGCCAGGCAATGTAATCCCGATTGTTGCTCAAAGCATATCTGTCATGTCTCCTGACTGCGATAAACCTTAACAAGTTACCAAGCTAGGCGCCAGCTCAATGCATGGTAGCAGTCAAGATAAACCTACTATAAGGTAGACTATACAACAGTAACTACCACAATGTTGATGTATATGGACTGTCGATTGTTGAGGGAATCCTTGGTTTTTTTCGTTTTGGAAGGATCCATCCAGGAACCATTTAAAGTGTCTTCTCCCGCATTGATATTTGATGTCTGTCTCTCCTTCAAAGTTCATTACAAATTGATATTGGATGTGATTGTTACGCTATACTCACCAAGAAAGAAAGTTCTTCTCAAATAAGGGTATTGATTACAATCAGATTATCAAGCTTTTTCCGCGTAGTCAACGCTGATTTATGTCTCCGGGCTTTATATGCTCATCACATTTTCTTGTTTGCATAATATCACCTTTGAAATTGCAAGAAACACGCTAGTGGACTAAGAACCAAAAAGCACCCAAGAAGTGGGGAGCAAGAAAAAAAGATGAACATAGAGTTGACAAATGATTATACAATTGGGCACCGGCTTTTAGAAAGTAGAACAAAATTTTCATTGGAATTCCATTAGCCGTTGAATTATATTCTTTCTTTCCAGATCATTTGTCCACTTTCACCTTGAATTTAGCCTGAATCTATGATAATTATTGAAGTACATCTAGCTCGAGGTCTGCTTTTATTAGAATTTAGCATCAGCTAGAATTTAGCTTCATAGAAATTTAGAGTTTACAAGAATTCTAATATTTTTAGAATTCTAAAAGATCAATGATATATTAGAGTTTTAGTGAAGTTAAGAGATAGTTAGTTGATTCGTTCTTTTCTTAGTTAAATAAAAATAGAAGTCTTAGCTTAGTAGGATTTGTAAGGCTATTTAAAACCACCTTGAATATTCAGATCAATGAGAGCAAGAACAAAAGAAAAACATTGGCTACTGTTTTTTGTTTTTCTTCTTAGAGCAAAAACTTACATGAATTTTGTTCGATAATTGGTATCCTAGGTTGATTAAAAGACAAAGGAAGTGAAAAAAAAACAGGAGCAGTAGCAGCAGCTTGTAGTAGAACCCCACGCACTATCATCCTCCTTTGCAGCAACAAAAACTCGTAGCATCAGTAAAACAAACGCAAGAACAATTTGTTTTTTGGAAAAAGAAAACAAAAGCAACGACGCCCTTTTTCAACAGATACAACCCCGTCCATGACAACAAGTTTTTGATCAATTCCAGGACGAGGCAGTAGCAGACCTCCCAGATTGTTCCAGTAGCATGCAGCATCCTTCTATGCAAGAGCAGCCTCACTAGAAAGCAGAAGTGCCAGCAGCAGCAGCTTAAAAAAGTGACAACAGTTGTCAATCACAGGTTCAGCAACAGTATTTTAAATTGATTTTATAGAAGCGGACATGAGAGATCTTCACATTGTTGGAGTGATCAAGAAACTTAACAATTAAAATTACAGTAAATGGTTAACATGTATGACGTCTTACATGCAAGGCACGGGGTAGGTAGTCAATTGTAGTGAAGACACATAACCAGCCGAAATGGAATCTTGCGCAAGTGAAAGATTAAAGTTGGCAAGGCAATGTTTGTCTTGAAGACCATAATTGAAGAAGATATGCTAGAGCATATTCAGGATGGTACAACGCCAGGAGAAGTATGGGACACCCTTGCTAGTTTTTCCTCAAATTCCTCATTATTTTAATAAAGTGAAATCAACATGATATGAGATTTTTAAATTAAAACCTGGAGTAACTGTTGGTGAAACTAAAATATTTCTCAATTCGCTATCCTGATGTAAAAGATTTCTCAATTAGCCCTTTTGTTAGGAGACCATGGCTTTCACATCCTTGATGGTAGGACCATGTGCCTATTAATGCTTCCTAACCCCGCCAAAAAGAGGTTAAGATCTTAATTCCCTCCAAAAACACATAAAGTTTCCTTCAAAACTTAAAATTCCCTTAAAAGTCTAAGGAAGTTGCTTTAAAAAATCAAAATCTGACTCAAATTCGCCTTTCTTTCGAGTTTAGATGTTGAAGCTAAAACCATCTTCAGGTGCATGCTAAATTAGAAACTCAAATAATACTTCAGATGTTTCAATGATATCATAGATGTTTTTCATATAAATACTAACTGTGAGATTTTGGGAGGTTCAGAACAATAATTTGGTTTTTAAAAAAAATTCATTAATTAATTTAAGTTTGACTAAACGTTCAGGATTTGCCTAAATTTTTACTACCATTTTAATTATTATTATTTTTTTAATTTCATTGCGAGGCCAATGGAGGACTTCCGTGCACAACTTCGAGTTAAGCAACCCATCAGACTACGTTTCTTGTAATGTGCTCAGATTCTTCTTCTTTCTTTCTTGTGAGAAAACACGAGTTAAAATAGAGAAATTATTTGCATTATTATACGAGCATAACAGTTGGAATCTTTACAGATGCGGTGTTCGGATCCCTTTATTGATTACATGTTGCTTCTCACGGGCTTAAAGCTTCTTTGCTGTCGGTGTTGACGAAACTATCTCTTATCTTCTCAGCATATCTCAGATATTCTACAATGGAACATCAGAGGGATAGTCCTGAGGATGTCTAATGATGGTTTCTCTGAGTTGTTTCTCTTGCTCTCGAAGATTTGGTGGTGCAATATCATAGACATCAGAGAACAACTCCTTGAGTGGAGGTTTTTCTTTTTTCTCTGCCAGTTGAATCACTTGCAGAAGCTGCGAGAAGAAATAAACAAAACTTGATATAAACTTTGGCCAAGTAAAACATGTTGAACAATGAAGAAGCTTATACGGGAAGTTCTGTCAAATTTCACCTGCTTCTTCATGCTGCTTCTGAGCTCTGATTCTTTCTCCTCGCTCCACCAGCCATTTCTTTCGACCCATTTTCTGAATCTATTTACTGGATTCCTTACCATTTTCCAGTATTCAATTTCATCAACTGACCGATACTTTGTGGAGTCATCAGATGTGGAGTGATGGCCTGCTCTATATGAAAGAGCCTGAAGATTTGTTGCTTGTTAATTTACATGGGTGATATTAAAGGTATTCTGGCTGCTGTTTAGAAAGGATCAATGCCTCAGATGCTGGCAAGAAAATCCTACGAGGAAGTTCAATCTCACCTCAACTAGTACAGGCCTTTGCTCACTTATGGCCATTTCGCGAGCTCTGTGAATTGCACTGTAAACAGCAAGAGCATCATTTCCATCTACTCGTATGCTTCGGATTCCATAAGCTTGACCCCTGACAACAATGCCATCGCCTGCGGAACATATTCTATATAAAAAAGCATGAAAATCATTTACCAGATATATAGCATATCTACTGCATACAATTCAATATCAGAAGATGCTCCAACTTTCCCTTTCAGAACAATTGGAAGACATGACCACGACTATATACCTATTTCCAGTTGACATTAGAGGTAAACTACTTAAACAAAGAGGACTCTTTTACCCAAAATCAACATAACAAATACCAAAAAACATTGGATGGTTAGAGTACTCGGGTCCAAATAATGTGAATAGTTAGGTGCACGTGGACGAGGACTGAGTCTCTAGCAGTTACTAGCTAGTAAGTAGCAACATACGGTGACCTTGTGCTTGAGAATAAAAATGGAAGCGTAAGAAGATAAGTGATCAGAATAGCACTTCGAAATTGCTCTGATATATTAGTACTAATGGCCCAGCCATTGTTGCGACAGATAAAGACCACAGGAGCTTCTGTCACTGCTGCAAAGTTTAAAGCAGCATGAAAATCTCCCTGAAAAATTAGTTAAATATTAGATAACGAAAGCAAAAACAAATCCGAGAGGAAGAAGGAAAAACGCTCGAGAGCTTTTTGTACTGTTACCTCACTGGTACCACCATCTCCAGTATATGTGACAACACATGCATCCATTTTGTCCATCTTAAGAGAATAAGCAACGCCTACTGCTTGAGAAAGTTGAGTTCTGACAAGCAGCATAAATAGCAATCAAGAACATTTGATGACATTACAAACGTAGCATTGATTAACTACAAGAAATGCACGGTAAGATTTCAGAAATATCTACTGAGATGGATATATTACGCTATAGGTGATGAAATAGTGACAAAATTGTGCTTCTTAGACCCATAATGCATGGGCATCTGCCTCCCTTTCCCACAATCATCCTTGTTTCCGAAGCATTGGCTGGCAAATTCTTCAATTGTGAAACCACGCCATAATAGAATCCCGGGCTCTCGGTACTGAAATTGCATCGGATGGATCAAACTCTTGCTTTAATACGAGTGACATAACAATTTGGCCTGGAACTGGAAATTTAAGCATCCAATGTGACAAATGCTACTATACCTGAGGCAAGATGATATCATCTGCACTTAGTGCAGCGGCTGATGCAATGTTTATTGCTTCTTCACCAGTTGAGGTCATGTAGAAGGAAATTCTTCCTTGGCGCTGAGCCTCGTAGAATAAGGTGTCCATCATTTGAAGGGAGACCATGTTCGTATACATCTTCACTGCAATTTCCTCGCACAACTGACAAAATTTTCATACACAAGCAACTACATTAAACAACTCGTGATGCTGTGACCACCAAGATGATGTGGTTTGGCCAGATTCAACGGCTGTTGATTGCTTTCATTAGATGGAAAGAGATACCTGTTCATAATCGCTGCCCACGATTATTTCTCCGTTGTCATCAAGAACGCGGTAACAGGGTATTCTCTTCCCAGCGGACTCCGGTAAGAATCTCATTTCAGACATGCAAGCGACCTTCCCTCCAGGAAAATCCAGTTCCTAAAACAGCAAGATATCTATTCAGTTTTGTAATAATTGAAACACGGGTTCAGTTTTCAAAATCCGTAGTGGTTCTACATGGACTCATAGAAGAGTTTTGCAAGTTTGTTTTGGTTATAGTGCAAGGAGTTTACTAGCAGTAATTCCTCAGTACAATTTTGATTAATGGATCAAAGCTATTACGACTTAAAAGGGTCAAACCTATTAATGAAAATGAACTCCTATTAGGGACCCTTCCCACAAGCCCCAGGCCTAATTTTGCTGGAACTCAATTCCCATTTTAAGCTCGAACTCGATCTCCAATTTCAACAATCAACACCACCAACTTTTTTCTCTTTTGGTTTCTCTTTTTCTTGTCCAAGCAACGACATGTGGATATTACCTTAGAAATGAGCTCAGCCAGGGAATAATCTCTTAAGAGGTCAAGTCCCGATCAGTTAATGTCGAAGGAAGCGGAAATCAACACAGCGGTGCCATCTAGGCTCGGATCAAGTGATGGATTGATGGAAAACGATACGAGAGTCGAACTGAACTGTGCCTTAGTTTCTCTAAAAGGCACCAAGATTTTTTTGAAAGAGAAGCACTTTGGGGACGCACGACAGCTTAGAATCTATCTCAGTCCGTGTTATAGAAAGTGCTAGTTTTCTAATACATGTAAAAAAGAAGGGGTATTTTTCTCTTTTTTTGGCAACATAAGGACTTTTCCGGTCTTCATTGTGTCACCTTGTTTGGTGAGAATAGAATTACAGAAGTTATGCCAACTGGGTGTGTAAGGCCGATCTGCTATCTTAAATACTACAACAACCAGACAGATGGGTGGTTGCTACCTTGCAGGTGAGGCAGAGAACTAGGTTTCTATAATTTAATATAGTTCTAGTTCTATTTAGGAATAATCTCTTATTAGATGACCTTAACATGTGATTCTCTTCAATAGAAATGAAGACGACCACGACGACTGTAAATCCTGTCTTGGCCAGTCCTCATTACATCGAGAAAATGCAACAACATCACCTTAATTATAAGTATATGACCACTGGATATTCTGGAAAATACGGCACAACACTATTCTGACAGTGAATTTGATAGCCGAAATATTGGGATTATTGGAACTCAAATAGTCGAAGAGCTCAAGGTTATATCTTGATGATAATAATTGGACAAGCTTGAAGGATAAGGATTAGGTAAAAACCGGAACGGACGATTGTCCAAAAAGGAAAGGGACGGGACCGCTGCCTTCTCCTTAAAAAAGCAGGATGGGTAATACCTTCCTACTCGAGACAGATATTTTGGAGTAAAAATTATTAGGAAAGGTAGTACCTTCAATGACCCCTTTTTATGAAGCTATGGGGTAATCTTGGACTGCCAATTATATCGCAGTAGCTTGATCGTCGTCCCCATCATTGAATTTACTTATTAATGGGGTTTTTTTTCCATGAATGAGAAAATTCCCATTTATAAAAAATACGAAATCCGTGTCCATATCCTTAATCTGCTTTATTAGGAAAATGTTATTTTGTCATTTCTCCTGTCCTAAAGAAGGATGATGAATAGATTTGTTTTCTAATCAGAAGAGGGTAGATCGTTTTTGTCTTAATTATTTGAGAGATTTGGTACTTTTCTTTCTTCTTTTGTCTTATTCTTACAGAAAAACAGAAAGGTAGAAGGAAGCAGCTAGCCACCTACTCAGCAGCTGATCTCGAAAATGTGGTCGAAACAAATTGTGCTTGATTGTTGTTCATGTTATAAAAAATAAGAACAGAAAGCTTTCTTTTCTTTTCAAAACTACCGTAAAATGTATTTGAGCATGATTACTTGTGAAAAAGGACATCGATCTCATATAAAAAAGGGTAACACCTTGGCAGTATACACTTGCCAGAGATCAGTTTATAATAAAGAAGCACGTGGTGTGTAAAAATTTGAAAATCATGATAAGTAATTCCTCGAAGATCATTGAATTCCACTGATAGAAGCATATGGAGATGTTTTACATGAGAGAGGGTCGTCGAATTTCTCTCTACAAGAGAAAAGAAACAAGAATGATATCTTCCCAAATCGTAAGTTATTTTGGTTTTTTAAATAGGTGTGCAAAGAACAAGTCAATGTTCGTAAACTGCTAGAATCTAAGGTTAACGTTTCGGTTCATGACAAGGAAAAAACATAATATTTTGGTAAGAGATGCCCTCTGAAATTTTTTTTTGTCATAGTCACAAGCAATTGAGCCATCATCTTTTTGTGAATCGGAAGTGTATTATGCACTCAACACTCCATAAGTGGGTAAAATGAACCAATTCATGATCAAAAGAGAAGAAAACAAAGCAAAACAAGATATCCACTAGAAAGGCAGAGTTGAATATTAGAATATTTACCTGACTATTATCATGATCATCATCATCAGTAGAGTACAGATGCTCAAGTTGGCTTGCAGCTTTGGTGGTTTTGAATCGATGAAGGGAGAAACGGGTGGAAATTGATGAGTTGAAAGGAAACAAACGTAGAGTCGAGCGCTGATGCTCGTGAAACTCTGGGATAAATATTGACGATAAAGGGCCTGGTTGCATGCAAGAAGAAGAAATCCAAAAATCTTGGTGAAAAATCCCCATGAACCCCACCTTTCTCTTTAAGTGATGGGTGATGGTTCTTGATTCTGCCAGCCAAACAGCCATATTGCAACGTAACGGACAGGCCGATGAAATCTGTATGTTCAATTTATTCTTATTTATTTCGGTTTCTTCCACTGGTTAATTAAAATGCTGGTAAGAAGAACAGGGACTGGAGAAGGGAATACAATGAATAACGATTTGGTGAGGCACATATATCATCATGCTGGGGATGGAGAAGTAAGTGTTTGTGTGCCTCCGTCACTTGAATTTGGCCTGAGATTAGTAATCGTCAGTCCTTGAGGAAGGGAAGATATGAACGTATTTTATTCGCTGCACGTGACAGATCACCTGGTACAATCCCACGTGGAGTCGTGGGAGCCTACCATCTCTCTCTTCCATTTTGTCCTGGATTAGATTTTGATTGTTTGCTAGTTGTTTCTGTGTTTAAAATAATTATATTAAAATAAATATTTGATAAAATTAAAAATATAATTTATTTTTGATGAATTTCAGTGTATTTCATATTTAAAACATAGATTTTACTAAAGTAGTTTTTGGCTGCTTTTTTTCCTCAATGTTTATAATTTTAAGTAAACAGTTTAAAAAAAAACAATGCAGTAAATTAAATTTACTTATATTATTTATTTAAAAGAATAGTTTTTTCCTGAAAAACCATTACAGTGAATTAATATTTACTTGTATTGTTTATGTTGACAAGAATAATAATTTTTTTTGAAAAATTAGTTTAAAATGAATTAAATTCACTTGCATTGTCATGTAAATAATTTTTTTCTTCAACAATTACTGTAAAGTGAATTAAATTCACTTATATTATAATCTTAATTTTATTTCTCATAATATTTTATCTAATTTTATTGCACACTTAAAAATTATGAAAATTATAATTCTTGTAGGATAAATTTTGTACGTAATGAAATTGTAGATGGTTTAATTGAATAATAAAAAATATTTTAAATAAAATATTATTTATATCATGATATAATAGTAGTAATTAAATCTACAATATTTAAATTTAAAATTATTAATATTAATACATATATTTTTTACTTATTTTATAACCTCAATTTCAAAAATATTATCAACAAAACATATTAAATTACTTTTTGTTCAACTTTAATTTTAACCATAGTTTTAATCAAATATATATAAATATCAAATCAATCTCAACTAAAAATACCTCTTATAAAATATTTTTTTTCAAAACACAACCATAAAAATTACTACAATACAAAATACACTCTAGATGATTCGGGCTTAATTTGGAGTTCTTCTTCACTCTTTTTTACCGTGTTTCATATAAAATAAAATAATATATTTTTTATTTATAATTTTTTTTACTATTATCTTATATGCAAACATTCATGTTTTTACAATCTATTTTTTAAAATTATAATTAAAAGTATTTTTAACAAATTTATATTTCTTAACTACAATCATCCAAATTATCACAGAATCACTTTAGTCATGGAGATATCAAAAGTTATTAAGTTTAAAAGGAAGCTTCTGTTAATATTTTTTAATATATTATAATATTAGTATCATACACGTGTTATCAAATATCCTTTTATAACAATAACAGAGAAAACTGTTCAATTGTATATGAATTTAAAGTGTGAGTAATGTTTGCGTGTCTATATTTATTTTTAAATAACAGCAGTGAACTCATAATTAAAACATGATATATGTTACTTGAGAAAATCTTTAATTAATTATATAGGAGAAATAGCAATATATTTCCAACTATATATATATATATATATATGCATGCATGCATTTATTGAGGCTGTGGAGGTTTAAGTTCAGCATTGATGTGATGGAGTCTTTTTCGTGAGTGCACAGTGAATGAGAATTTCGTTATTTGAGTATAATAATAATAGGTCATCGGTTATTCCAAAACCATTCTATATTTTCGTATTTTTCTCGAGCTTCAGAACAAAACCATAAATAAGCTTATATTTCCTGTTTTGGATAAATAAACAAACTTTTATTTTTTTAAAAAAAAAAGAGTTTTAACTTGATTTCTATTAAAAATATATTTATAATAAAAATAGAAAAGCAATGCTACTAAAGAAATTCTCATATTTTCAGTTTGAAGCTTGAGGAATCTGATAATAATAATTGACACCGAATGGTAGCCAGATCCCCGGATTCCAAACCGACGCCAGGTCAGGGTGAATTCGCCGGCATGTGGTGGGCACCACGTGGCTGAGGGTGAGCCACGCAGCGTTCTCTTCACCTGTTTGTGCTCCTTTTTATCTCATCAGTTGTGTTTGGCCCCAAAGGGTAATTCTCATAAATTTTATGATTTTAAGAAAATATAATCGATGCCCTGTTATTTTTCCGGCTAACGTTAATTTGGTTCGTTTTGCACATACAAGGTGACATGGGCGAGATTGCCATTTAAAATTAAAATAACCATTTATGAGTAGGAATGGTAATGTTTAGGAATTTTTTATATTTATATCTTATTAATTAATAATAATTATAGTTGTAATAATAACAATAATAGTAATAAGAAGAATGAGAGTAATAATAGTTAATAATAGTAGTAAGTATTTATATATCCTTATATTTTAAAAGTTATGTCTAATAAGTAATTATATATGTAATTGTATCAGTTATGTTATTAATTTTTAGTTAAAATATCCAAGAGAGGGTAATTCATCTAAAATTAGACTTGTAAGTCATATCCAATTATTTCACTTGAGAATTTCCTGTTAATTTAAATGATGTATCACAGTTCCAATTTTTTTAATAAAAAAACTACCTACAATATCTTTAAAATATGAAATAAATATGTTTTATTGGGATTTAAGATGTATTCTAAATATGTTTATTTGTCATATATTTATTAAACATACAAAAAGAACAAATTACGTATTTGTCTCGTATTTTATTTTAAGTTGTTAAGAGAAGAACTGTTTGAATTTAAAAATTATTATAATAATAATAATAATAATACAAGTATAATTAACATGCATAAATATATTATTTTGAATAGTAAAATATGGCAAAAGGACCTGTTTGGGATCTAACTAAAAAGAAGATACAACTATACATCTAAAGATTTATTGGAGACATTATTTAAAATATAAAAACATATGAGCTACTTACTATATATAAGGTGAAGGATATTTTTTAAATCAAAATGAAAATATAACAAGTGCAAGTCTCGAGACCATTCTATTAATTTAAATGAAAATATGAATAAAGAACATATGATTTTTTATTTTAAAATTAAATAAGCACAATTAAAAAAAATTCAAGAATAGATTAAAAAGTAATAAGGAAAAAATATATCATTTTCCTTAAAAAAATAATGATTTTTTTTTTTCAATAATTCAAGGAGTTCCCTAACCTTTTAGCCAAAAGAAAATAAAAAAGATTATGAGGTGCGCTTAAAAACTCAAAAGCTTTACGGAGGGATACTCTCCTTTTTTCGCATTGGAGTTTTGATTCATTAAAAGGCCGTAGCCCAGTTTGCAGGCACAGGCCCAACTTGAGTCCACTAAAGAAGGTAATTCGATACAGCCCAACGTGCTGTAGTCCAAAGCATAAACTCCAGCTTTTAAGTACACGAGATGAGAAGACTTTAATAAATGAAAAATTTTACTTTATTTATAGAATAATTAGTCGTATTTTATTAATTATTTTTTATATTTTAATTTTTTTAAGAAATAAACATATAAAGTTGAAAGAATATAAAAATATTTCCACAATTTTTTTAATTATATATTTTTATTTTTTAAAATAAAATTTTAAAATAATAAATAAAATATTATTAGCGAATCACTTATTTAAGGTCAAATTTTGCTTTTAAAAAAAGAATGTAGTTTCAAATCATACATACTGCACCTTAGCATAAACATAAATTTGGATACTCCTATTTTTGAGAGGTGATATTAGACCGTACAAGCAATTGAAACAAGAAAATTAATTAAGTTTTTTTTATAAATTTTTAGTAACCCGGAGAGGTCTGTGAAACTCCGACTAATGACCATAAAATTACACCAGCTTTGATATATCCAGTGATATCTTTACATTGTTATTTAATTTAACGTTTAAGAAAGTTATGGGAGTAAATGGCTGGCGGCAACGGTGGTGCGGTGATGAATAACTACTAGCAGTTGGGAAGAGATGCATGATCGGTTGATTGATTACATCAGGCAAGCTCCGTTTGAGATCAGGAGTTCATAGACTTCAGGGAACGCATTGCTTCCATCTAGTGATTTTACTTGCATCCAAGAGAAAGAGCAACGAGCAACTGATCAGAGCAATTTTACGGCGAACTTGACCGTTACAGCAAACAGAAGAATCGATGTCTGGTGAGCACATGTAGGTCTAAGGCAGATACATTCACAAGCATAGCCGTACCTTAAAGAATCTCACAATTGTAACCACAAACCGTATCTCCATGGAAAAGACCTCCTCAAGACTCATTTTACCATGCTACCAAAACAACCTTTAGCCTCCATCTCTCAGTTCAGTGATCACGGCAATAAATAAATCTCTTTGCCTCCATGATGCTGTAACTGGTTTGCCTTGAAAGTACATGAATGGTTTTTGCTCCAATCGATCCATCTGCATCCAATCACCTTATCCATCATTTCCATTTTCACGGCTTTCTTAACACAACCCACAGCCTCCCACTGACCCCTTCGTTTATCCGAGCCAGTACCAAATACGGTAGGGATGGCTGTGGTTCTGATTCCATCGGCCTCGGATATTAAAAATTATTTATTTGAAAACTTTTTACAGATAAAAAATACTTAAAAACAAATACTTTCAATTGTATTACCCAACAAAACATATATTCAAAATTTAATACATAAAAATTAATTAACTTGTGAGTCCGTATAATTAAACAAAATAAAATTAACACACGCAGATTTAATTAACCAATACAAGTGAGAATTTATGAGCTTAAAGGGTGTTTTTTCATAGTAAAGTCCTCTGTTTAGAAAGTGTTGGAGATTATATTTAGGATTTTAGCATATCACAAATGGCGCCATATGATTGGTCAAAAACATGTTAAAATAATTTTCTTTACATATTAATACTTTGAATTTTTTAAAATCTCTTTAATGATAGCTGATCTATTTAAAATATAGGGTCATCAATAAGATTTATACGAGCTTAAAATGTCTCGTAAAAGATTTATAAATAGAAAAAATTTATATTTCTATAAGAACATCGGTGTACAACTGACTTTAAAACCCTGCTTTCTTTAATCTGAGTGAAAAAACTGAAACGAAGTCTTGAAAAAAATTATCACTCCTACTAGCACTCTCGTTTTTACACCTGGCAATGTTTATCATTAAAACTATTTTTAAAACTGTTTTTTACTATAAAAGAATAATTTAATATTTTTATATATATTTAATAATTTTAATGTGATGATATTGAAAATAAAAAACTTAAAAAATATTATTTTTATAATTTCTAATTAAAAAATATTATACACCACGTTACCAAACGCACACCGGAACAAAATGAAGCCAGTTGTTCCTGGTAATTCGCTCAAAAGCCAGCTGCAGCCATGTATACAGTATACCCACACACACGCTCGCACTAATCTTGGTGCTCACCCTATGATATGGACCGGAACAAAAGTACGTTCAAGCACCAAAAGAAGAAGAATACGCAAGCACCTTTAATAAAGTTAACCTATCATCAACTATCTATGTGTTAGTTAAATAATAAAAATTAAAAATTAAAAAAAAATATTTTTTTATAATTTTAGATCTAAATTCTTAATTACTTATATAATAACTATAAAAAACTTACATGATTGTTAATTTTATAACTCATAAAAATTTATATAATTATTAATTATATAAATTTTATAATTCATAAAATTAGTTATGATATGTATAAACTAATTAAAATATTCATATTAATCTAAAAAACAATTAACATCATATACATTAATACGTACAAGAAAAAATTATTAACAATAAATAAAGATTGAACTGGAATGCTAAGTGATGGATACAAAAAAGAAATATCATATATATATTAGATTTACTTCAACTAGAATTAATATATTAAACTTATAATTTAGATTGTAAAATGAATACAATGAGATTACCAGGTTTGGCCATCTGTCTGTTTCATTTTCTTTCTTTTCTTTCTAGTTAGCTCAAGTGGTGGGATGAAATATAGAACTAAATCGAAGAGCGGAGCGGAATTAAATAATTAAGAGTTATCAAGTTAGAAAAAAGGTATGCTGAGGGAACACATAAAAAAATGTTTGGTTTGTGCGATCAACGCGCTAGCAAGTGAGGAAGCCTATGACATTGGGGTGGCTGGCTTCCTTCAAGCTTCTTTAATAATCTTTGTTGGTGTCATTGGAATCGGCTTATCAAAAGCTCCCTTTCAGAATGGCGCTTGTCGGTGAGGAATCCATTGTGCGGCTTCATGAAAGTCACCCTCCCTCAAAGATGAAGAATCTTTTTTATGCTGTCCTTTTTTTATAACGAAAGCTCCATTGATCGAAGAAAAACTAAAAGGCAGAGCCCAATGCAGGATAAAAAACCAAAATGAAAATTCTCCTTGTAGACCAAACATATCAAAAACGAAGAGTCTCCTACGAGAGTTGCCCAATTCAACTGCTTTTGACAATATGTACAATCCACATGATGTCATCCTCAAGAGTTATGAGGACCATTATGAAGCTTACCGGTCCTTTCCTTCCAAACACCGTACATTGTGGAGCAAAAAGCCAGTCTTAACAAAATTGCTAAAAAGCTCCTTTTTCTGCACATTTGCTCTAGCCCATTGAAACTCACTACTCCAGTCATGAGCATTCTGATTGATGCAGCATAACTGCAGAATAGACTTCCAAATTGTCTAAGAGAAGGCGCAAGCAAAAAAGATTGATCTCAGTCATCAAAAGCGATACCAAAACACAGGAGACAATCTGTGTTCACAGCTCTCCCCATCCTAACTTGCTTACACTAGGTAGGCTGTTTTTTAGGAACTGCAAGCTAAGTTATGAAACTAAATCTTGGCACATGCCCTTGTATGAGCTTATGCCAATCAACTCTTGCTTCTTTCAGCCTGACACGATACCAAGCACTTCTTGATGAGAAAATGCCTTTAGCAGAGGGCCTCCAAGTAACTTCACCTTCCTGTTCAGCTTTAGGGAGAACAATACACAAGTAGCACTCTGCACTTCAACAATTTCAGCAGTCCTTGCACTAGGACAAATCCATTCGCCACTCTGAATAAACTTAGAGACTGTAGCATCAATAGATAAACCTGATTTATGAACAATTCTCCTGTCAATACAAATGAAGAATCTTGATGTGTAGTAATTGTGAAACCATGCCATCTCCACAAGGACAAAATTTCCCTAAATTTTATAATATTCAGTGAGTTGTCAGAATGAGTAAAGAAAGAAACCACCAAATCAGTGTGGTTGATCATGCAAAAAAAGATAGGTTGTTTCACCTCATGATGATGAAAGTCCTATGATGTACCACCATCTGAATAATGTATTCAACAATTAGCCCAACTGTAACCGGGATATTTTTGTACTTGCCTCTCCTGCATTACCTTTCTAACCAGTGCTGAGCCTTCCCAGTCTCCAGAAGTGGCAAATATGCTAGATAGCTGCACATAAGCACCAGAGTTCTCAGGATCGAGCTCAATGATATGCTGTGCCACCCTTTCTCCAAGATCCTTTTCTCCATGAGCCATACAACCTCTCAGAACTGATGACCACATGCTAGCATCTGCCTCAAAAGGCATACGTTTTATTAAATTCATTGCTTCTTCCAAGCAACCAGCACGAGCAAAAAGATCGACCATGCAAGAATAGTGCTCAATCCCTGGATCAATATGATAGTCATATTGCATTACATTAAACCATCTCCATCCCTCTTCAACCAATCCACAATGATCACAGGCAGATAGAACCCCTGTAAATGTAATTTCAGTTGGCCTGACACCAGCATGCCTCATTTCATTAAATAATGTTAGCACTTCCAATCCATGACCATTTGTAGCATACCCCATCAGCATTGAATTCCATGAAATCTCATCAGATTTCATCATTGTGTCAAATAGTTTTCTACCTAATTCAATAAATCCACACTTGCAATAAAAATCAACTAGGGAAGTAGAGATGATCTCATCAGAATCAAGGCCAACAACAGTTGCTCTAGCAAAAATCTGTTCACCAAGTTCAAGTGAAGAGATACTAGCACAAGCACTGATCACACTAGCAAGGTTAAACCTGTTCATCCTCAAATCCAGTTTATTCATCGTGCAAAAAAGATCCAATGCCTCAACTGGACAGCCATTTTGACTAAGACCCACTATCATTGAATTCCAGGATATCAAGCTTTTACTAGGCATTGTATTGAAGATCTGTTTAGCATCTTCGATTTTACCAGAATTGCTATACACCGTGATCATGGAGTTGAGCAAAATTGTGTCATAGGTTTTGAGCTCACTAAATAATTTACAAGCATCATTCAGGCTTCCACACTTGGAGTATGCATCAATGAAAGCACAAGCAACAACATTGTCACAAAGTAATCCAACTTTACAAGCATAAGCATGCATTTGTTTTCCATGTTGAGAATTGCATAAGCTGCTGCAGGCACTCAAAATGGTTGCAAGTGTAGAGAAGTCTATTTTGAGTCCCTTTTTCTGCATGTCATTGAAGAGTAAAAATGCTTCAATTTCCTCATTATTGGTAACATATCCTGAAATCAATGAATTCCATACCACAACACACAAATTACTTTTCCTATAAAATGCTCTTCGAGCATCATTCATTCTACCATGATTCGCATAACCTGTGATCAATGCTGATAAGGAAAAGTCATCTGGCTCCTCCATCATATTCAAAACACAATGTGCACTATCCAAATCACCACACTTTCCATACAAATTAATTAACGAGCTAGTTAACACCGAATCAAGTTCCATATTATCAATCAAAATCCGGGCATGTATTTGCTTGCCACATTGAATTTCACCCAAATCAGTGCAGGCCCCAATAACTGTAGCCAACACAAACGTATCACAACATGATTTATCCAAAGGGTCCAAATTCAATTCCTTGAATAGCCTAACAGCTTCTCTTGGTGACCCCTTTCGAGCATAACTGTGGATCATCGAATTCCATACAACCCCATTTCTGTTAGGCATCTCGTGGAATAACCTCCGAGCAATTTCCATTTCACCAGCTTTTGCAAACCCTGAAAAGACCACGTTCCATGAATAATCATTCTTATTTGACATCATATCAAACAACTGAATTGATCTTTCTTTATCCCCGGACTTCATGTAGCCCTCTATCATGGTATTCCATGAAAAACAGTTTCTGTGAGGCATTTCGTCGAACAGTTTGTGTGCATCGGTCATGCTGCCACATCTAGTGTACATTTGCAGAAGGCGGTTTGCTAGTGAAAGAGTAGATTGTATAAGACCCTTTTTGAAGAAGAGAATATGGAGCTGCCTTCCTTGGTGTATTGAATGAGGGGTGTTAAGGGATTGGAGAAAGCGAGCCAAATTTTGGAGATCTAGATCCATGGTTATTGATAGAGAATGATTTTTCGGTTTTGGTATATAAAAACAGTAATCTTATTTTGTTAAGAATGAAGGAGAACGAGATTTTGTATGGTTTTTTATGTTGCATTTTACAGTTGAAGATGATGCAGAATAAGGTTTTTCAGGCATATGGTAAGATTTGTTTGCGGCGGCAAATATGAAGACCTAACATAACTACCCTGAACCGGAAGCCATATGCCGGTTGAGAGGATGTTTCCATCGGGGGTTCTTAATCTGTTTGAAAGCTCACAATTCGGGATTTATTTATTTATTTTAAACAAATAACCTGCTTAGAACGCCATTGGTTCCTAGATCAAACCAAAAGCTTTTTAACATAAAATGAAACATGTAGGTGTAGCTAATCTGTCTCATTCATGCTACTGGAATCTTGATAATTACTTGTTGAATACTATAATATACTACTACATTATAGAAAATACCAAAAGGTGTGACGTTATTATTGTAGATTAACATTGTTTCCGTACTCATGAATTATTGTGGATTCACAGTTCTTTTTTTATTAATTTTTTTTATTCTCAAAACTTTATTTTAGACAATTTAATTCTAATTGAAAGTTAAATATTTTTTATTTCCGAAGCAATGGTAAAATTAGAACAAAAAGGGCTGAAATAAAAATGACATAAAAAATAGGTGGTGTTTTATATTTTTAGTGAAAAATATACTTAGATCCTCTATCTTTAAAAATAATATAATTTAGATTTTTTAAAATTTTAAAAGATTAATTTTGATACAAAAAAATTATTTTTATTATTTTTAATTCATGGTTTGGAAAAAAAAAAAAGATGATTGTTAGATTTTGATGGTAAAGAGATAAAACCAGCATTAACATCAATTTTAATCAATAAAATGATTGATTTTAATATTAATAAGTTTTATTGTTGAATAGAGTTTCACATAAGTGTTTTTTCACCTTTAAATTACTTAGAAAAATTAAATATAAACTTAAAAAAATTTATTGTTTTGGGTTGATTTTATATTTTGATGTGTTTTTTTGTTTTTTAAATTATTTATAAATTTATTAAGATATTTAAACTTTTTTTTTATAGTATTTCAAGTATCAAATAGATTAAAAATAAATTTCTAGATCAATAAAACATAATTTTTTTAGCAGTGTAGTAGATTTAATGGAAACGAGACAACGGTCGTTTGCAATTTTATTTATAAAAAAAATAATGCCCCAATTTAATTTTTGAAAAATAGGGCCCGCATCCGAGACTTTCTAAAATGGATCAGACACTGGTCTGGCTTGCCAAGTTTAAATTTAAATTTATGCTGACAGGCTTCGCGGGGGAGCTGCGCTGGCATCATCATATTTGACAGTTTTTTTAATGTACTTTAAAAACCTTAGTATTCTCAAAATAAGAGTGCAACTTATTTCCTAGAATAAGGTGTTTTTAAAACACGATCGGGGAGCGAAAAAAAGTATGTACCAGGAAAAAAATCGGAGAAATGAAATTTTTGCAGAGTGAAGAGTGAATGGCAGCATGGTTCCCACTTGCGGAATTTCCCCGTTACAAAACTACTTATTGGATCTCATGAGAAATCGCTGCGAGCACGCTAGGTATCTCAGATTTATTCAGCTCAGCTTTGGCGGTGTACGGATCATCAGGTTTTGCTATCTAACCGACTCCACTTACAGCGCACAAAGGCCAATCCAATCACCACCTGACAAGCCTATAATATCATCAAATACCCGAATCATCTAACTGTGGAAACATTAAGCCCCCGCTGTATGAGCTCCTTCAAATCACTTCAGATGATAACGTAACGCACCCGTTGATGCTTTTTGAGGAGCCTGCGTAAGCTTGGTGTCTCACCGTGAGGCATGAACATCTGGATGAATTCTTAACCTGAAGTCTAATGCTAATATTTTTGCTTCATCCAGTTACGACTTCACGACTTACAAATGCAGATTTTTGCCGACCTGGATGGGCAGATATGTACCTTGGCAATCACAACAGGCTGAATTTGGTTCTGTCCGCAATTTCAAAGGGCAAAGGAGCTGAAGGACTCAATTCATCGAGTCGTTTAGCAGCCCATTCTCCCAATCTCCAACACTGATGCTTTTTACATGCATCCACTACTCTTGTCAACATGGGAACAGTGGGATCAAAAGGCATATCCTTAATAAAATTCTCAAGCTCCTCCATGCACCCATACCGACTTAAGAGTTCAATAATACACTCATAGTGCTCCAGCCTTGGTATGATACAGTATTTACTGCTCATTGAATTAAAATACTGCCTAGCCAAATCAACATGACCCTCGCATACACAAGCAAGCAAGATGCCTTGAAAGGTGACATTATCTGGCTTGGTTCCTTCCTCCTCCATAAATCCAAATAATCGAAGTGCCAATTTACCCCTTCCAAGGTGACAACAACCCAAAATCATGGAGTTCCAAAGAACCAAGTCCCGTTTATCAGCTTCTCTAAAAACAATGAGAGCGTATTCAAGGCACCGGCATTTAGAGTACATGTCAAGCAACGCTCCTGCCATCACAGTGTCTATGTCATAACCATTTCTGATCATGAACCCATGAATTTGTTTCCCCTGTTCAAGTGCAAAAGTATTTGCACAAGCTGCCAAAAGAGTAGCAAATATAAATTTATGCGGTTTTGTCTCCCATTGCATCTCCCGGAAAATCGACATAGCTTGTTCACTCATTTGACGACGAGCATAGCTGGTCAACAAAACATTCCAAGAAACGCTATCTCGTGACTGCCTCATTTGATGAAACCAAACTCCAGCACTTCTCAAGTTTCCACATTTGCAGTACATGTCAAGAAGGGCATTTCCAATAACAGTGTTGGATAACCAACCATGACGATAAATGAAGCCGTGTACCTGCTTCCCCATGTCAACATCTGATAGGCCAGAACATACATTAAGCATCAATTGAAAAGTGATGTGATCAATGTTTTCAGTTGTCCTGCACATCAGATAAACAAAATCTAAGGCCTCTTCCCATTGGAGGGAACGGATGTACCCTGCCAACAATGCATTATATGAGACCATGTTCCGTTCAGGCATCTCATCGAAAAGCTCCCTTGCCTCTCTCATTCTGCCACTCATTGCATAAGCTGACACCATAGAAGTCCAAGAGATTAAATCTCTCGAACCAGGCAGGTCAAAAACCCGACGAGCACTTTCTATTTCACCACACTTTACGTACATATCAATAAGTGAGCTCAAAACTACCTCTTCCTCCTCAAAGTTAATCTTAGTTGCAACTCCATGGATCTGCATTCCCTCCTTGACTGCGCGCATATCTGAACATGCAACAAGGGCATTAGAGAAGGTATAACTCAATGGTCTAAGTTTGGCACGAAACATCTTAAAAAACATGACCACTGCCTCATTCTCATCACCTACCTCAAGATACCGCCTAACAATAATGTTCCAAGTAACATTATTAGGATTCTCAATCTCATCAAAAATCCTCCTTGATTCACTCATAGCTTCACACTTACCATACACATCAACAAGCGAACTCCCAACAATGACATTCCCACAAAACCCATATTTCACAATAAGCCCATGAATCTGCCTCGAAAGACAAAGTTCCAGAACATCACCGCATGCTCTCAAAGCACTAGAAAAGGTAACCTCATTTGCATAAACCCCTTGTTTATGCATATCCCCAAAATAACTCAACGCTTTTTCCGGGCGCACACATTGCAAGCAAGCCCTAATCATCGCATTCCAAGATCCCCCATCTCTCTGAGGCATCTCATCAAACAATTCCTTTGCATCCTCCAAACACCGGCATTTTCCATAAGTATCTATGGCTCTATTTAAGAGGAAGGTTGGAGGCGTTGGACAGGCACCAAGTAACTGCGATTCAACCTTTCGAGCCTCGACGATAGCAAGACTGGACGAGCAAACCTGGAAGAGATGGGCATAAAGGGAATAAGCGAAGCAATCAGGAGAGGCAAAGAGAATAGAAACGGCTTGTTTAAGGCGATTGGCTTCGAGGTGAGAGAGGATTTGTCTGGTTAAGGCTTTGACATTTGCAGGTCGGGTTTGGAGGTTGAGCGTTTTGTTGGAGAGAAGAGAGCTGAGAATAGAAGCGCCACTCATCGGAAGGAAAAGAATAAAAAAGTAACGGCCGGTTTGGGTAGGAAATTTTCTCTTTGAAAGCTTCCACGTCGTGACTTAGTCTTCTGCTTTCACTGTCTTCTCGAAAGCTAAAGATAGTTCACCTAGGGGAAGAATTCGACTAAGCTTAGGTTGACCATTTCGTCGAACAGTTTGTGTGCATCGGTCATGCTGCAACATCCAGTGTACATTTGCAGAAGGCGGTTTGCTAGTGAAAGAGTAGATTGTATGAGACCCTTTTTGAAGAAGAGAATATGGAGCTGCTTTCCTTGGTGTATTGAATGAGGGGTGTTAAGGGATTGGAGAAAGCGAGCCAAATTTTGGAGATCTAGATCCGTGGTTATTGATAGAGAATGATTTTTCGGTTTTGGTATATAAAAACAGTAACCTTATTTTGTTAAGAATGAAGGAGAACGGGATTTTGTATGGTTTTTTATTTTGCATTTTACAGTTGAAGAGGATGCAGAATAAGGTTGTTTTAGGCATATGGCAAGATTAATTTGCGGCGGCAAATACGAAGACCTAATAACTACCCTGAACCGGTAGCCAAATGCCGGTTGGGAGGATGTTTCCATCGGGGATTGTTAATCTGTTCGAAAGCTCACAATTCGGAATTTACTTACTTATTTTAAACTAATAACCTGCTTAGAACGTCATTAGTTCTTTCATCTGCGCTCCACTATAGATCATATCAAAAGTTTTTTAACATAAAATGAAACATTAGTTCTTTGTGTACATAGGAAGAATAAGTTTACTTTGCACCAGTTTCACTTGCTCTTTCTCGGTGGTCCTCTTTCCGTTGAGCAGGTAATGAAGGAGCTCTTAAGTTTTACGTTAGAACAAACACAGCTAAACAGAAGCCCACATTCATCTCCTTAGTCCTGTAACTCCCACCAGCAGCGGTGGTATTTGAAGAACTAATAGTGACATTGCCTGTTTATCGCCACCAGCTAGGGTGGTGATGGTAGCAGTCTTACCAGTTTTCTGAGCAGTAGTGAACTCCAAAGTTGCTTTAGCATCCTTGTTTTCTGCTGCAAATTCATGCTTGACAGGCTTCCCATTATTCACAGCAGCACCCACTTGCCAAATATGATTAAAAGACTCGACCTTTTCAGACAACTTAACCGATGCATAGATGGTAAATTCACCAC